CCACAGCTGCCTGCTGTCTTCTTTGCGAGGTAATGTAACTTGAGTGTTTAGAGCATGGACTCTGCCTTTCAGTTCCTGACTCTATTACTCACTTGCTCTGTGACATTGGGCCCAGTTCCCCTACCCTCTCTGTGCCTGTGTCCTCAGCTGTAACACTGAGCTAATAATAGTACTTAACTTCCATAAGGTAAGTGAGAGGCTAGGTGAGTCAATATCCAGCGTCCCACACAGGATTCCATGGTGTTAGCAGTTATAATAATTGTATCAGACTTAATCCTCATGAAATCCCCAGCCGTGTTTATTTTATGGGTGCGAAAACAGGCTCCTGGAAGTCAAGGGCTCCAGGATGGAAGTCTGACTTGGTCTCAGGGCCGGCAGGGTTAACGGAGTGGGGGGAGGGGGGGAGACCCAGCTCTGCCCCCAGGCGGCCATTCATGAGCTCTCTCCCTGCGGGTCATTCCCGGGCTCTGGACTCCTTCCTTCATATCTTCCTCCTGCGGCTGTCGCGTCTTCTTTCCTGTTTTTCTATTCCCACACCATCAGCCTGAGCGATAGCAGCCTGGTCTCCGATCACTTCTCCATCTCTAGTCCCCCATCCTTCACCCCTATTTTTGAATGAGCATCCCAGACTCCGGGCCTGGTTTCAAATCCCAGCTCTGCTACTTACTCGCTGTGTGGCCTCGGGGAGTTCCTGAGCCTCTCTGCAACTCAGGTTCCTCCCATGTAAACAGAAGTGATAGCAGTACCTGCCTCCAAGTGGTTTTGCCAGGGTGAAATGAAGTGGTGCATGTCAGGTTCTGAGAACACAGCCTGGCCCACAGGAAGTGCCGTGAAAGTGGTGGGTATTACCGTTGTTGTTTGTTGTTGTTGCTGTGGACACAGTAGAATTTAATAGCTGCTGTTTTCCCAATCCCAGAAGGAGATCCCAGTTCCCCCAGAGGCAGGTTTTCTGCCACGTGCCTCAACACCAGAGCCCTTTCCGCAGCCGGAACCGGTGGTCAGGGTGTGAGTTACTTCTCAACTCCTGACTCACCTTGGTTAGCCGCAGCTGGGCGGGGCATGCAGGGTGGCAATGCCAGGGTTACGGGCGGGGGGTGCCCATGCCAAGCTTAGCCAGGCGGTGTCTAGTTGGACCTCCATTCTACCCCAGTCATTCTGAAGCAGCGAGGGGAGCCTCAGGGGTGTTGGGGTGGCCACGGGGCACATTCCGTGACACTGGTCCGGGCAGGCGGCTGAACATGACTCAAGTGGAAATAGTGGGGCCTGTGGGCGGATCACGCTGCATGGTCATGGGCTCCCAAGCTGTGAGGGCAGAGTTGGCTCAGGCCGAGAGAACAGCTTTCAGAAGGTTTTTGGCTCAGCTGTGTCCAGAGTGTGAGTGGGGGAGGCCGAGAGACAGGTAAGGGAAAATGAGGCAAGAGAAGGGTGGGAGTCAGGTGACGGTGCTCATTAATGCCAGCCCCTGGGCAAATGCCAGTCTGTCACAGGAGGTGAGGGGATCCTGCTTCCAGGATGTGGATTCTGAGGCTGACAGGTGACCTGTGAGTGCTGGGCTGGGGGGAGTGGGGAGGAGGGGCTGGTGGGGATGGGGGGAGGGGGAGGAGGCTGGGGCAGGGGTTGTACCGGGTCAGTGGCCCCCACAGGCTTCTGGGAAGGGAGGGTTTAGGTTACATTTGAAAGGATAATTTAAATTGTAAGGAAGCCAGCAAAAATGACTGTCCACTGAAGTGATCTCCAGTGTTTTTCTTGGTTTTATATTTTGAAAGCTGGCATGGCCTCTTGGGGTCACGTCCAATGCTGTTTATTTGCTCACTGGTCTCATGCAATGTGGCTAGCACGCTCAGCGTGGGTGTCTGTGACGGAGAGGAGACCTACACGTGACCCCGTCCTCAAGAGCTCTTGACTCAGGCGGTGGGCAGCTGTGGCACAGATGTGGAAGGTGGAAGAGGGAAGGTGGTGGGAGACACAGGCAGAGAGGCAGACAGCGAGACAGTCAGGGTTCGGCCAGGCTCCACGGGGCCCTGAGAAGGGTTGTGCCAGTAAAGGTTTAACGATCAGCTCCCTCATGGTGGTGGGGTAGGGGGCACACGCAGGAGAGGAGGGAGCTCCCATCTGTAGCACTTGCCATGGTGTAGACCAGGGGTCCTCAAACTTTTTAAACAGGGGGCCAGTTCACTGTCCCTCAGACCGTTGGAGGGCCAGACTATAGTTTAAAAAAAAACTATGAACAAATTCCTATGCACACTGCACATATCTTATTTTGAAGTAAAAAAACAAAACGGGAACAAATACAATATTTGTATTTGCATGTGGCCCGCGGGCCGTAGTTTGAGGACCCCTGGTGTAGACATTCCCACCAGGACCAATTTCCAGCTACCAGCTTCACTGAGTGCAGATTGGTTAACTCCGTGACTGTGTGTGGAATGCCTCCCGGACGCCACAGAGCTGGCTCCGGGTCGCGACTGACTTTGAATCTTCTCTGCCACTCATTGCTGAGGCCAGAAGTCCCACGGCCAGAGGCTCATCCTTCAAATCCAAGTTTGGTCCGTGTGGATAGGGGAGCTGGGGAGAAAGAGCCACCAGATCTACTTGTGTCCTTCGGGTCATCCAGTCCTGGCTCCATCATCTACTGATGCAAAGCCGTGGACAACTGGGCTTCACCTCTCCAAGCCTCAAGTTTCCTCATCTAGAAAATGGGGGTCATAATAGTACCGCTTCCCAGAACTCTGGTGAGGATTCCCTGAGGAGCTGCATAGAAGGAGCTCAGCTAGCATGGCTGCCTTCCTGTCCAGGTGGATGGAGCACCGTCCTCTCTCTCATCGCCTCACCTGAGACTCTTCTGAGAGGCCTGAGGTCCTCAGGAGACCTGCTCTCCAGCCAGGGATTCTTGCTACGTCAGAGCTGGAGCCAGCCCAGCAGCAGCCTCAGGAAGTCACCAAGAGGATGACATCATTGCCCCAGAGATAAGCTATGGTTTGCCTCTGTGCCCTTGGCTTCACTGCAGGGGAAGCTCGGCTGACCTTGTCCTTGCTATCCTCTTTTTTTTTTTTTAATATATTTTATTGAGTCTTTACAGAGAGGAAGGGAGAGGCAGGGAGTCAGAAACATTGATGAGAAACATCAATCAGTTGCCTCCGGCACACCCCCTACTGGGGATGTGCCCGCAACCAAGGTACATGCCCTTGACTGGAATCGAACCTGGGACCTTTCAGTCCACAGGCCGACGCTCTATGCACTGAGCCAAACCAGTCAGGGCGCTATCCTCTTTTTAAAAGCCTTCCTCTCTCGCCTGTGTAGAGTTCTCTGGATTCCCCTCAAGTCCCACTACAGAGCTTCATTCGGGATTGCCTTCCTACCCGCTAGTTCATACGAGGATGTGAATAACTGATGCTCCCCATTCGTTCCTCTTAAGGTGCTGCTGGATAAAAGGAATGAATTCAGGCAATAAGGAAACGTGAAAGCAAAAGGGGGAGAACAAGAACGGGGCTAGAGGGACAGTTAGGGGTGGGGTAACAGAGACCCGAAGGGCAGCCAGGAGCCTGGGGTTCATGGTTCAATCTAGCCACTGACTGCTCATTGTATGCTTTGCACAAGTCGCTCCCCTCCTTTGAGCCTCAGTTTCCCCACCTGTAAGTTGAAGGAGGTGGACAGGGTGCACTCTTACTCCCTCAGTCTGAGATTCTGAGGGCACCAAAGGTCATAGGAAGCATATCACCTACTGCCACTGCACCAAAACCCACAAAATCAGTGGCTTGAAACAACACAAAATTATCATTCCCATGTTCTGGAGGTCAGAAGTCTAAAATGGGGCAACAGCCCTAAGTGGTTTGGCTCAGTGGATAGAGCGTCGGCCTGTGGACTGAATGAAGGGTTCCAGGTTCAATTCCGGTCAAGGGCATGTACCTTGGTTGCGGGCATATCCCCAGTAGAGGTGTGTAGGAGGCAGCTGATCGATGTCTCTCTCATCGATGTTTCTAACTCTCTATCCCTCTCCCTTCCTCTCTGTAAAAAATCAATAAAATATATTAAAAATAAAATAAAATGGGGCAACAAAGAGAAAGAAAAAAGAAAAAATAATAATAAAATGGGTCAACAGGGCCGCGTTCCTAGGTGGCCCCGGGGACAGTCTGTGCACTGCCTCTTCCAGCTTCCAGGGAACGCCTGCCTTCATTCTAACGGCATCCCTCTCGCTTCCCTCTGTTTCCCTTGTCACCTCTTCTCTGACTCAGTGCTCCTGCCTCCTGATGCGGACCCTGTGATTACCCTGGATAACCTAGGACCCTCTCCCCATCTCAAGGTCCTTAACTTAATCACCTCTGGGAAACCCCTTTTGCTGTAGAAGGTAACATAGTCACAGGTTGCCGGGGTCAGGAGGTGGGTATCGTTGGGAGGCTGTTACCTGCTAGCCATAGGGAGGCTGTGTTTTGCAAGGCGGCTCAGTGAAGCCTTGGGGACAGGAATGGTGGAGTCTACAGAGGCCAGACCAGCCAATAAAGGGCAATGTTCTAGGCAACCAAGCCCTCCTGAGCCCAGACCCCACCTCTCTCAGGTGGCTCCTTTCGGTAAGCTGGGCAGGTCAGGTGATCGGGACCAGAACAGTGGGACCAGGGATGCAGCTCAGCCAGGGCCTTCCTCCGAGGTTGTGAGAAGGTTGCTTTGCTTCTGGGTTAAATGGTGCTGACAGTTCCTTCTTGGAGTGCCTTACAGGACTGCCGCAGTGGGTGTGAAGGTGGCTGGCCATTTCCCATGAGCACCTGGGGCGGGTGGTTGCTGCTGTTGATGAAAGTGGTGGGAGGGGCTGGCTGGTGGCCTCAGGGATCAAAAGGACCTGGAAAGACTCCCAGAGTGAACCATGAGGAGGCCGAGAGGAAAGGGAACAGAGTGTACCAAGTGGTGTGGACCAGCCGAGGGCCCGCTCACCCTGACATCTGGCTTTGATCAAAGCCATCGTCAGATTTGGTTGTTTGTTAGAGCAAAAGTCAAGGATTCTGAGAAACCATGACGGGCTCAAGTCCAGTGGTGATAGAGCAGAACTGCTGGTGTTTAGTTAGTGACAACTCCTGACTAATGAATTCCAATCAGGCCTCAGTGCAGAAGAGCACCTCCTCCTCCCAACCCCACAGCTCACAGACTCCCAACGCCAGCCAGTGCTGGGGGGGTGCTTGCTGCTGCCCAGGGAAGGGAGGGAAACATCTGTTTCAAGATTCTACCTGGAAAAATACAATAGACAAAACTTATATTAGAAAGGACTGGGGGAAATGTTTACAACATCTGTATGAAAAGCTAAAATTCTTACAACATAAAACCTTTTATAAATGAGAATCCCACCCATTAAAAGAATAACTCATTCACCGAAGAAGTAAAGCCGGCATTGAACATATGAAAACATTCAATCTCCTTTGAATCAAAGAATAAACACTAATATGCAGAGGAACAGGTAGGCGTGGCTGGTGTTCCTCTCTTTGTGGCCCGTGATCATGGGCAGCCTCCAGGCCCCACGCTGGTGTCTGTGCAGGGTTGCCTGTTTGGGCCACACCCCCCTCCTTAACTCCTTCCTCTCTCCCTCCCAAACCCTCTCCCCACCGTGAACAACCTAGCGCATTGGACATGATGTTTCTGTTCTGGAACACACAACAAGATGGAACCTAGTCTTGCTTCATGACAGACTCGCATCACTGCTTCCTGTGAGTCTCTCTTTTAATAACACCATTAAACTTGGGGAACCACCGTCCCAGAGAGAACTTGACCATGCCTCTGGCTTCCTCTGCCCAGGCAGCTGCCAGTCATTCTCTGACTTTCCCTTTCATCTCTTTGAACTCATATGTATATAGTGCATTTGTATTAATTTTATTAAGAGACTATCACACATATATTTGTATGGGACGTGGAGGTAGAGGACATATTCCAAGGGTAGCAGAGTGGTGGTGAGAGGGTGAGGAAGGAATCTGGATAGCTCCCACGTTTCAGTCTTAGGGGCTCAGTGGTTGGTGGTGCCATTCAGTTAGGTAGACACAGGAGAGGAGAAGAAGCTGGTGGGAAGGTGATGGACTCAGTTCTGGGTGAAGCAATGATTTAAACTAATATTTGCTGAGTGCCTACTATGTTCTGGGCACTCTTCGTAGGGCTTGAAGCGCTTCACACGAATTATCATATTTAAGCCTCAAAAGAACCCCATGAGTAGGCACTATTCATTATCATGATCATTTTAAAGATGAGGAGATTGAGAGATGGAAAAGTTTAGTAGTTTCTATCAACATGATGGATCACTCCTTTCTGCTACCAACCTGAAAATACTGGATAAAATATATTGAAATATTAAATATAAAAGAAAATATTGATATAAAGCTATACTTATAAATAAAATGCTGTAAATAAAAGCAAAGGGACACTCTCAGGCAATGGAAGTAAAGAAGGCTCAAAGCCAGAGCGGGCACACTAGACTTTTATAGATAAAACAAGCCCACTGAAGAGAAGCTCTCATTCAAAAAATATATATAAGCCCCACGAAGAAGAATAATGATAAGCCACACACGAGGAAGAGTATGGAGACAGAATCAGTAGATGAATTGGTAACCCCTAAATAAGAAAGAAAAATCAGAAAGACAGTACCAGTCTTTTTAAATGACAAGGGAGAAAATAAAGAAGAGAACCATAAGAAGTGAATACCTACGCAAGGTGACATCACTATTCAGTGTAGACTCGGGCTCCCACACTTAGGCTCGTACTTGCTCGGCTGCAGGCACTGAAGTAGACGTGAAGGGTCCATTGGACATCCCGGAGCAGTCGAAACTGGGTTTGCAGCGAGGGAGGGATTGCCTAGCTTCATCTCATTTCTCCCGCACTACTCTCTGGTCTGCAGCGCTCCAGGACGGGATGTATCCTCTGGACATGGCCACCTCCCCTCAGCCACTCACCACCAAGGTCGCCAGTTCCGAGAACAGCAGCGCCTTCTATGACTACGAGTACTACTTGGACCAGGCGGCCTTCATGCCCTGCATGAAGGACCAGGTGCTGGCCTTTGGCAGAGTCTTCCTGCCCGTCTTCTACAGCCTGGTCTTCGTGCTGGGCCTGAGCGGGAACCTCCTGCTCCTAGTGGTCTTGCTCCGGTACGTGCCTCGCAGGAGGATGACTGAGGTCTACCTGCTGAACCTGGCCATCTCCAACCTCCTGTTTGTGGTGACCCTGCCCTTCTGGATCACCACCGTGGCCTGGCATTGGGTCTTTGGGAATTTCTTGTGCAAGATGGTGAGCACTCTCTATACCATCAACCTCTACAGTGGCATCTTCTTCATTAGCCTCATGAGCCTGGACAAGTACCTGCAGATCGTCCACGCTCAGCCCCACCACTGGCTGAGGCCCCGGGCCAGGCGCTGGCTCCTAGCTGTCATCGTGTGGGCGGTGGCCCTGGCTGTCTCCATCCCTGACATGGTCTTTGTGCGGATCCATGAAAACCACCAGGGTGTGTGGAACTGCCATGCGGATTTCGGGGGGCATGGGACCGTCTGGAAGCTCATACTCCGCTTCCAGCAGAACATCCTGGGGTTTATCCTCCCACTCTTCGCCATGATCTTCTTCTACTCCCGCATCGGCTCTGCCCTGGTCAGGCTGAGGCCCCCGGGCCAGGGCCGGGCTCTGAAGGTAGCCGTCTCCCTCGTGGTGGCCTTCTTCGTGCTGTGGTTCCCGTACAACCTCATCTTGTTCCTGCACTCGCTCATGGACCTGAAAGTCTTTGGGGACTGCGAGACCAGCAATTACCTGGATTATGCGCTGCAGGTGACAGAGAGCATCGCCTTCCTTCACTGCTGCTCCACACCCATCCTCTACGCCTTCTCCATCCGCTGCTTCTGCCAGTACCTAAAGGCTTTCTTGGCCGAGTTGTTTGGACGGCGCCAGGGACCATGCCCTGCCCAGGCCCCACTGTCCAGCTGTTGTGAGAGTAGCAGCCTCACTGTCCAAGAAGAAATGACCAGCATGAATGACCTTGAGGAGGGGCAGGCTGAGGGCTCCCCCAACAAGGGGGCTGTCGGGGGAAATAAAGCCTCAGCGGCCATGCCACAGTCCGGTGAGAGCGGAGGGGACCCAGCTCAGCTGGGCATCCACCCAGCGTCTTCTCTCCAAGGGCCCCCGTGACCACGCTGCTCAGCCCAGAGCTCAGTTCTCAACCCTCAGCAGCACCCGCTCACTCCTTCCAGGACATCATACTCCCTGATCTGCTGCAGCGGTTGCCCAACTGACCTCTGTGTCCTATTGTCACCGTCTCCTATCATCTCATCTGCACCCGCAGCCAGCGTGATTGCAACACCTTTGGCCTTCACTGCCATCTCCTTCCCAGTAGCCTGCGGCCTCCTACCCACCAGGCCGCTCCTGGCCCCCGCGTTCAGCTGGGGAAATCCTGGTGTTGTTTTGTTTAATGCTGCAACCTTGGTGGTGGCTCCGGAGCCTGGCAATCCGGAGGCTCTGGAGATGCAGCACCTGGGGACCTGCCGAGGGGGAAAGGCAGGCGCAGCTCAGTCCAGGAGCAGGGCTGCCCCCTCCACCCTGGGAAGTGTGGCGAGGGCATTCACAGCAGTTACTACCTAGGAAAACATCTCTTTTCTTCCCGGGGAGCCTGCAATTCCACCAATGGCACGTCATTCCCGACTGGCTTTGTTATAAGCTTTCCTCACAGAATACACATCGTGGGCTTTTCTCTGAGGGACAGAAAAACTGGTGCAGAAATGAGAGCTGCTGGGTCAGGACAGGTCTCAGTCTTCCTACTGCCTCGAGCCTCTGCAAGGAAAGTGGGGGGGGGGGCCCTTGGAGAGGGTGTCTCCAGCAGTCCCCATGGGGGCACGGGGGCGGGCAGCCAGCAGTGGGCATTGGCCTGTAAGTGCACTCTCTAATTCTGGGAACTCACGGCCTGTTGTTACATGGACATCCTTTGCTGTGGGATGGGAGTCTTGTATTTACTTCATACCTGACCACCCAGGCTTCCCTCGGTTCCAGCCTACCCTCAGACAGGTCACAGGATCCATGAAGTTCATTCTCAATTGAGACTCTTGGCCCTGACTCAGTGGACTGGAGCCCTCAGCCCTTCCCCAGCCTGTCCCCAGGCCAGGCTCCTGGCCCGTGGTCCTTTGGGGGGGGGGGGAGGGGGATGGGATGCAGCACCCAGGTCTGGGCAGGGACAAGGAGGTATGTGAAGGCCCTGCCACTTTGCTCCATTCCACACCTGCTCCGGCACCAGGCCTGGCTATGTGGGCAGGTTGTTGGGAAGCTCCCTCCCCATGGTCAGCCCCCAGCCTCCCAGCCCCGTCCTCCCTCTCCTATGCTCCCTACTAACTCTGTATGCTGCTGGCCCCTCATGGAACAGGATGGAACCAGTCAAAGCTCTGTCAGGCTCCAGGTAGGTCAGCATTTGGGGGCAGCTAGACCCAGAGAAAGCCAGCCCTGACCCAGAGTCACATAGCTGGTGGGGACAGACTCCTGTTAGTCTGCTATCTGGGCAAAACTCAGGGCAGAACAGGCCACCTCAGCAGGAAGGAAGAGGCCAGTCAGGGGTGAGGGGAGGAGTAGCAGAGAGAAGCCCCACTGGGCAGTCCTTGCAGGGGGTCCATGCTGCTGGGGCCTCCCTCCTCCAGGACCCTACACCAGTTCCCACAATCACAGCCCCAGCCAGGCCCTGCCATCAGCCAGCTGCAGCTCTGGCAGCATCCCCTCCCCGTCTCCCAGCCCTGGTAAGCATGGCAACAGGAACTGTCTCTAGTTCATATGCCAGAAAGCTGAGTGAGGGCACAGAGGGAAGGAAGTGATTTGAGGAAGTGAAATAAATTAGCTCAGACTGGAAGTCAGGTGTCTATAATTTAATCCACAGCTGGGGAATTGGGGGGTCAGAGATGAGGAACATGATACCAAGCCCCATGGGTCCAGTGTGGGGAGGGGACAGGAGGAGGAATCCCAGACAGACAGCAAGGACACATAACAGATGTGCTGTGATGCAAACAGTACTCGGGGAGCCCCAGTAGCTGGAGGCCAGAGGATGGGATGGGGCCAGACCTAAGAAGGCTTCCAGGGGTAGCTGGCACTGAGGTTGGCAGGACAAGCAAGCAGCTGTGCTTTCTAGACCTAGAGAGTTCCACCAGGGAAAGCTGGCGAAGTTGAATAGCACTGGATGGACAATTTGGGGACCAACTGGGGCAAAACCTAAATATCAGGTGTGTGAAGGGAATGGGGAACCAGAAAATAAAATAGTGACAATTAGAGATGCTTTTAGAAAAAGGTCTCTGGCAGCAGAGTGAGCAGAGGGCCCGGCAGGCCGGGTGTGGAGAGAAATGCTTGAATCACTCCTACACGGAGGCAGCATTTCTCTACCGGCTGTGCCCTGTCTGGTGGCCACTACCCACACCTGCTGTGGAGCACTTGGAATGGGGCCGGCTTGAACTGAGACGCGCTGGAAGGGTAAAAAGTGCACACCAGATTTTTGAACATACAATATACAGATGATGTTTTATACCATTGTACCCCTGAAGCCTATATATTTTATTAACCAATGTCACCCCAATAAATTCAATTTTTTAAAAAGTACATACCAGATATGGAAGACAATACCAAAAAAGAAATCTAAAAATATTCTTTATATTGATTACATGTTGAAATGCTAATATTTTGGATATATGGGGGTAAGTTCAATATGTTATAAAAACAAATTTTACTTGCCTTTATTTTTTATTTATTTAAATTCTTTATTGTTTAAAGTATTACATGCGTCTCCTTTTTCCCCCATTGACCTCTTCCCGGCCGCTCCCACCCCCAGCACATGCCCATGCCCCCCTACTGTCTGTGTCCATTGGTTATGCTCCTATGCATACATACAAGTCCATTGGTTGATCTCTCACCCCCCACCCCCTGCTTTTCTTTTTAAAATATATATGTCAACTAGGAAATTAAAAATTACACATGTGGCTTGCCTTGTATTGGTATTGGACAACACGGTTCTAGAATGCGAATTCCAGAAGACATGGAATAGTATTGAGGGGGGAAATTAAGAGGTGGGGGGTGGAGGTCATATTGGCAAGATGCTGAGCTCCTCGTGGGGACCAGCTTCTATCCCGCAGGACTGTAGGCCTGTGTTATCTCCCAATCCCTTCCTCTGGACTTCCTGTGACGGGGGCCTGCAGAACCCACAGTGAGGGGGCTTTAGAGAGAGAGTGGTAAGCCTGTGAGGTGACTAGAAGGAGACAAGAGAGCAAGGAGGACCACCAGGACAGAGGTAGGGGTGCCACAGAGCCGCAGGGAGCAGTAGTCGGTGGGGGTCTTGGCTGCAGAGGGGCGAGAGGAGGCGAAGACCCCCAGGGAACCCCTCTGGCCAGGCTTGCGGCCCCGTTGGCAGAGCTCACTCAGGGGACCGCAGGCGGTACCGGAAGCGCACGTCATGGCTGGGCTGCGTGGTGCCGAAGCCCCAGCGCTGGGGGTCCACGGGCGGCACAGGCGCGGCGGGGTCCACCAGCTCCAGGTCGAAGTGTGTGATCATGAGCAGGACAAAGAGCTTCATCTCGCTCAGGGCCAAGAACCTGCCGGGACACATGGAGACGCCCGAGCCCCAGGGCATGGTGTAGTGGTGGATCTTCTTGCCCGCCTTGTAGAAGTCCACCTTGCGGCTGCCGTCGGGGTTGAGGAAGCGGTCGTACTTGAAGGCGGCGGGCTCGGGGTGGATGTCAGGGTCCATGTGCACCGAGAGGTAAGGGAAGAGGGCCACGATGTCTCCGCTGCGGAGCCGGTACTCCTCCCCGCTGGCCATCTTCAGGACGTGGTCATCGTGCACCACCCTGAGCAGGGTGGGCGCTGCCCCCAGCCGCAGGGTCTCCTCCATCACGCTGTCCAGCACTGGGGTGCGTTGCAGGGCACTGACGTCGAAGGTGAAAGACTGCCCGGCCTCCCCCAGGACCTGGGCAGCCTCCTTTCTCAAAGCCTGCATGGCTTCTGGGTGCTTCAGGAGGAACAAGAGGGCCCAGAAAGAGGTGGGCCCCGTGTTCCCCTGGGAGGCCCACAGCATCATGAAGTTGAACTTGTCCTGCATGGCCGGGGCTACCCCCTGCTCCCTCAGGAACTGCAGCATGTAGGCTATCCAGTTGCTGACGCCATCCTTCTCCAGGTTTTCTTTCACAGAGAGGGTCTTGTGGAAGAGGCGCTGGAGCCGGCCCACTTCCAGCCACTCCCGGGGCCCCAGCAAGGAGTAAACAAACCTGGGGAACAGGCGATCGAACTTACGGAACTGCGTGAACAACTCCTCCGCCTGGAGCAGGTCCTGCTCCGTGTCCTTCGTGTAGCCAAACAAGCTCAGGTAGCCGGCCTTGAACAAGACGTTGTAGCAGAAGTGAAAGAGGCCATCCTCACGCCAGCTGCTGGCATCCGGGCTCGGGCCCGCGGGGCCCAGGATCACCAAGGACAGGCTGTCCCGCATGGTCTTGTTGAGATCCTCCAAGCCGTTGCCCATGAGGTGCTTGGTGCTGGCTGAGTGGATCATCCGGTGGTCGCCCGGTACGGACTGGTATCCAAACACCTTTAGCACCAGTTTTTCCGCATACTCCACGAAGTCTAGTTTTCTCTTCACATCCTTGAGGATGGGGCCGAAGGAGAGGGGGTCCATGACAAAGGTGAAGTACTGGCCCCCCTAGCTGCACGGTGAACACATCCCCGTGCTTGGCCCGCATCTGCTTCAGGAATTCAGGCATATTCTTCCGGAAAGCCATGGCGTGGCCCAGCCAGGGCACAGGGCCCTTGTCCAGAGGGGGCTCCTGGGGCCTGCGCTGCCGGAGAAGCCCCAGCAGGCACAGGTACCCGACGATGACCACCAACAGGGCTCCCAGCACCGGACCCCAGGGCACCATGGCTGTGCTCTTGCAGGTTAAACTCTGGACAGACTGTCCAGAGAGCTTCTGGGAGACCTTGACAAGCTGGGGGTGAAAAGGTCTGCCCACACGGACCTTGCCCTACCAGCTGCAAGTTATAATAAATAACCCTGGTGAGACAGTATGTGGAAGTGAAATTAGCACTTGCTAGGGCCTGGTCATGTGGGGGGAGGAGGAGGAGGGACCAGGAGGAAGCCTGTAACTTAGGGTCAGCCCCTTACCAGCTCCAGCATCTTCTCTACAAAGCCTTCCTTGCCTCTGCTCTCACCTCCATGATCTACTGACCACTCAACCCTTTATTTACTCATGTGCAATAATTCATTCATTTGCTATCTCATTCATCAGAAACGTACCAAGCAATAACTAAGTTTCACATCCACCCCTTCCTTATTTGTCTTCAGTCTCTGAGCCTCTGGCCTGGGGGCCTGGCCCTGGCCCAACTGGTTTGCATACCTGTCTAGCAAGGATACACTGGAAATCTTGAGAAATTATGAAATGTCAGAGATGATAGGGGCCTCTATGAGGTGTCAAGTCAGGTCCCTGCCAGCAGGCCCCAGAAGGTAAAGGCTGTGCCATTCATCTGGTGGTCGCCTGGTATGGACTGGTGTCCATACCAGTCAAAGAGCCCAGCCCATTGTTGCGAAAGGTGAAGTTCAGATTCAATCCAACCACTTTTGATCACCCCTGAATGACTCTAATTTCCTAATGACCTGCAAACAGGGACTCTGTCTCTTCAGATAACCACAGGATTTCCACATGCCCTCAGGAGCTGGAAACATCCCCACTCTTCCTCCATGAAGTCCTCTCTGACTGCCTAGGGCACAGCAGGAACTCAGCACCATTAACTCTCTCCAGCCTTAGAATCCAGTTGGCAAATTGTGGGCCAACTCCAATGAGCTGAACTTAGTCCCCCAGTTTTTAATGGGTGGCAGTACCACCTTACATTCATTCTCACCTTCATTCATTCATTCACTCACACCCACTCATCCATTCATTCCCCCCTTCCTTGGAACAGCCCCATCTATCCTTTCAACAGATATTTACTGGTCATTTACTGCCAGAAATGTTGCCACAACCTGAATGAGACAGACATAGTCCCTGCCCTCATGGAGTTTATGGTCTAAGGCAGTGATGGCGAACCTTTTGAGCTCGGCGTGTCAGCATTTTGAAAAACCCTAACTTTGGTGCCGTGTCACATATAGAAATTTTTTGATATTTGCAACCATAGTAAAACAAAGACTTATATTTTTGATATTTATTTTATATATTTAAATGCCATTTAACAAAGAAAAATCAACCAAAAAAATGAGTTCGCGTGTCAGAGGTGTCAGAGGTTCACCATCACTGGTCTAAGGGAAAATATATTCAGTCATTGCCCACAGAAGTATATCATTACAATTGTGTTACGTGCTGCACCAGAGAAGAGCAGAGTGGGAAGGGGAGTGGGGAGTCGGGAAGGCTAATCAGGTGGTAATTAAATGAAGGCCTGGAGGATGCCAAGGCCAGGTGTGTTGGGTGGTGGTGGTGCTAGAGATGGAGATAAAGGTGTGTGGGGTGTGCTGCTCAAAGCATATGGCAGGGTTGTCCTAAGGCACAGGGTGCACACCCACTCTGGGCCAGTGTGGCTGCAGAGCTGAGGGGAAGAGCCTCCAGCAGGGTGTGGCTCCCCAGGCTGTTTGGATTCATGCTTTGACCCACTGCATTGAACCCTTTCTCCCCAGCCACGGGGTGTCTGGATCTGTGGTAGGCAGTTAGACAGACATGAGCAGAGCAAGGACCATGGGCCAAGAAGGTCACCAGGTGCCTAGCAACAGACAGTTGTAGGTTGGGACCTCATCCCCAGGGTGACCTCTCCTTCCCTAGCATATCACTGGCTGGTCTTGTGGTTTGGACCTCCCTGGCCTTTCCTCCCTACAGATAACATCTAGGCCTCAGTTGTATTTCAGCTCCAGGCTCAGAAAAGCAGCAAAACCAGACACCAAGACTGACCTCAGGACCAGCCTCGTTGAATAATGACCCCCTGCCCTGGTGCCGGCCAATCAATCAGTGGAGACCACAGCCCTGAAAGGACATGCCTGGAAAGCTGCTGAATTATCTATTGAGATCTTCCCCTGGGCCCTCCCCTAAAATCTCCCCCCCTAAAACCCTTAGGAGGCCCGAAACCGGTTTGGCTCAGTGGATAGAGCGTCGGCCTGCGGACTGAAGGGTCCCAGGTTTGATTCCGGACAAGGGCATGTCCCTGGGTTCCGGGCACACCCCCAGTGGGAGATGTGCAGGAGGCGGCTGATCGATGTTTCTTTCTCATCGATGTTTCTAACTCTCTATCTCTCTCCCTTCCTCTCTGTAAAAAATCAATAAAATATATTAAAAAAAAACAAAAAAAAAAACCCTTAGGAGGGAGGATCCAATCTCTGCCTCCTGGGAGCATGCCTGCACCGCCCCCCCCCCCTTCCCCTCCAGGCCTGTCACCTTTACCTCCCTCACTTCTAAGCTCCAAGAGCCCTTCCTTTGCCTCTATAACTTGTTTCATACGCCCATTTCTTCTACCAATTAGTTCTTCTAACTCTGTGATCTTATAAATAAATGTTCTCTTATAGTTTGAGTCTTGGCTCTGAATTCTTTCCGAGCCAGAACTCCAGTACTGAGGGTGCTGAACCCGGGTCCCAGTCTGGCCCCACAGGTGCCCTTCCCGCTGCCGCCAACAGATCCAGACTTCGGGGCGGCCAGAGGGACCGGCAGGGACTCCTGGCTCTTCCGCCGGCGGAGGCCTCCCAGCTCCTCCGAGTGGACCGGGGCCAGCGATCTAGACGGAGCAGGGCGACCCCGAGACGGGTCTCCGCCTCCCTCCCACTCTCAGCGGCAGCGCCGCAGATCGCAGGGGCGGGGTGACCGCGGCGGGCGGGACGGCCTGAAAGGACCAACGACACGCAGCGGCGGCCTCCGGGCGTGCTAGAGCGGCTGCGGCAGGGGAGAGGGGGTGGGGCCACGGCCGGAAAAGCGGTGACGCACTTCCGGCCCTGGAGCCTGCGCTCTGGTTTAGGGGTCCCTCGTGGAGCGTTTGCGCCAAGGCGCTGTGTGCCTATCAGTTCGTCTGCAGAGCGGTCAGTAAGGCAGTGGGGCTGGTGATGTCAAAATTTCTGTTCGGGTCCGAGTTCGTTGTCTTGCAAACTTGAAGAATGAGTTCCCGGACAAAGACGGTAAGCGGTCATTGAGACATAGACAGACTCCCTGCAATAGAGAGCAGCAGGGAGCGGGCCCAACCGCGTGGCCAGTTAAGTTTCCTAGTCTAGGGGTAGACATATGCTCTGCTGTCTTCTGCTTGGTTCGTTCAAAGAATTCTGCCGTAGTGCCTTTTAAAGCTCACGTCTCCCCGCACCCTTCTTTCCCGCCCCGTTGGGTTGCCCGTTTTGTCGGGACCGGGCGTGGTCAGCAAGCTGCACTCCGCCCAGGTCTGCAGTGTTCCACCCTTCACACCCGCCTGGGATCCCGTCCCTGCCTGCCTAGCCCTCTTCTATCTCTTCTCTGGGTTTGGAGAAGGATTAGCGGAGGGGGGCCTCCTTCCCTCCCATCACCGCTGATTCTAACTTGCTCGTTGAGCGAAGCCATCACTTGGCCCGGATTCGCGGGGGTTCCCGGAGAGCATTGTTTAGGTGTCCTTCCGCCTTTATCCATACATGGCCCAGGATGTTGAGCAACTGGGCACCGACCAGAAGGTTCCATTTATCTGTTGTGGTTACTATATTGGGTTTCTCTGCGGTCTCTAGTCCGTTTGCACCGCCAACCTCCCAGTCTTTTTGCCCTTTGTTCCTCTTCTAGACGATACTGACTGCTCCCCCCAATGCCTGCCACTTCCTGCCCACAGCCTCACCCCAGAATGCAACAGCAGTCCCGTTGGATCGGAGGTGCAGGGGAGAAATGATTTCACTCTGCCTTTAGATTGGGTAATAGTTTCACTTAAGTTAGGGATGGGCTTACTTATGGTTCCTTTGCCTTCCTAGCATTCAAGATTTCTTCTTTTTTCCAAGAATTGAAGGGAACTCCTTTATGGCCGCTGGGCTCTTGACAACCCGGCCCACGCATATATCGGTGTTGACCTAAAAATAAAAAGCCGAAGTGCCAGGCAGCCGGTGTTTACTTAAGATCAAAGAATAGCTATTCAGGAAGCACTGATTCAGGCAGAAACCCAAAGAGTGTTCTGATTATGGGGTGAGGGAAGGGGAATAAGTATGTGCATAGAAGAGACTGAATATACATATGGGTAATGGCCAGACCATATAGAAAAATAGAACTCTGACCTGCAACCTCAAGCAATCAGCCCGGACGGTAATGCATTATCTGCACTAACCAGTCCAAGTCAGACTGCTATCTGTGTCAACGAGTCCAGGAAGCCATAATAACCCTCGTATCCCCAAACAGCCAGAGTTTGATTAATATGCTCCCCTGGCCAATTACATACAATGTTTTGCTCCTAGCCAACCCTCAGGGCAACAAATCTCCTCTCAGCACACCCGAAGCCTCCTTTTTTCCTTCTATAAAGCTTTCCCACTTCTCTGCGTACTTTGAGTTTCTGCCAAATGCAAGTGACTATGGCCAGCTCCCTTGCTGTTATAAACTCTGAATAAATATCGTTTGCTTGTTCCCGTTTGGGTGGTCTTCATTTATTTCCACAACTCCGTTTGAGTTTAACTTCCTGACATGCTGTGTGATGCTCGGTAAGCCATTTCCTCTCTTTGGACCTTCTTTTCTTCAACTGAACATTTGAAGAAATGTTCAACATTTATTTTATTCAACAAATACTCCTTGGCACTTTAAGATTCTGGGCCCTAAGAGGTGCTGGACACGGGGTGGAGGTTGGAGGCACAAAGATGAACATATCCAGGAAGTCATCTGTCCTCTAGGAATGAAAAACAGTAAAGGAAGGCAGATCTAAGGCACATAGTCAAGTGAAGTATATAGTAGCTTATGTCAGCATCCACCCTACAAGGGTGCAGAGAAATGGAGACGTGTGGTCCGTGGGGAGAGGGCCTGGAAAGGGTTCCCAGAGGAAGCCTGTGGTGCCCCTGGCAGTGGATGTTTCAGGGAGATCTTTGGAGGGAAGAAAGAAGGACCACAGAGATAAGGTGCCCTCCATCTTCCTGGAGAAGCCAGAGTGGCACGAATCTTGCAGCCTTCACCTCTCCTTTGCGGAGCCCTGGCCTGTGCAGAGCGTGGGCTGCTGGGTGTGGGGCTAGCATGGCTGGCAGGACCCCTGGACTCGGGACCGCTCTGTCAGGCCCTCCCCTGTCTGGAGCATCCCTTCCCCACACCGGGTGGGCCCAGGGCACACTCACTTCCCCGTGGGCGGCCCAGGTCATGGCCAGGCCACTCGAGCTGCTGCTGGGACAGCGGGCGCTGGCCCTGGATGCACCTGGTGCGTGCGGCACTGGCACCACAAAGCTGACTCAGTTGTGCCCTGGCTCTAGGCCCAGATAAAGGGCAGAAAGGGGGTAGTGAGGCCCCCGGGAAATTGGGGTACATCCCAGAATGGAGGACCTGGAGGTAGAGGCTGGGAGCAGAGTGGCTCTGACACTCCTCAGAGTGACACCATCAGGAGAAGCACACTGCGTATGGCTAGCTGCATACACGAGCCGGGTGCTGGGCAGAGGGGTTCACAGCGCTGTGCGCAGTGACAGTTGCCCAGAATTTCCATGACACCTGTTGTACAGAACTGGTTATATTTAAGCCAGGTCTTGAGATGAACATGAGTTTGCAGGCTTAGGAGGGAGGGCCTGGATCTTCAGGCAGGGGGAGCTGCAGGTGCCAGGGCTCAGATCTGGGCAAAGAAAGGGTTTGAGTTCATAACAGGATGGTGACAAGATAAAAGATAATTAAGGGTGGTGGCTCAGGATGATCCTTGGCAGGTAAATTGGGCCCCTGAATAATGAATGGGGTTGTTTACGGTGCCGCGGATTTGGACTTCTTTAGGTAGGTGTAGGTGAGCCAGCCTTTGAGCCTGGGAGTGCAGGGTAAGTCGCTGTGGGGACTTTATTGGGCAAGAATTGGCAGGAAATGGACCAGACTGGTGCCCCCATAGAATGGAGATTTCCATCCTGATTGAGGGAATGGTTGGGAATTAGAAGTCTTTTTTTTTTTTTTAAATATATTTTATTGATTTTTTTTACAGAGAGGAAGGGAGAGGGATAGAG